TCTGCTTTTTGCCTGCTACATCCTCTCTTATCGTTGAGTTGATTTCATCATTAATCCTTGAGGTTATTCCAGCCCAGCACAGCTCAGTACAGCACAAACCTCATTGAGTCTAACTCTGCTAAACATTGCCCAATGTAGGCCAGCAGTCCACTGTATTCATGGAGAAAAATCCACTTTCTTGAGGGAATTTAGGCTTTTATAATTAAAAACTTAGAGATATGTCTCAAATAAAAAACAGTAAGGTGTTTCCAGCCAAGACATGATTGAGTCAACGTCAGGGAATCCCCAGAATCCAGGAACTCAACTGATGTTGGACCTGCCATTAACATTGAGAAGTGGGAGTGACATATCTGAGGATCTGTGTGTCGTTGCTCAGGTAAATATCACAAGAATTAGGAGCAGGAGTCAGCCACACAAACACTCAAACCTTCTTCACCATTCTCCAAGATGGTCTTTAACCTCAACTTAAACCTTACAGGCCAAGATATATCAAAGTTAGACTTGAACACATTATATGACTGACCATTCACAGTGCCTGGGATAGTGTGTAACACATATTCACAATCATTTGAAGAAATTCCTTTAAATTTTTAATGGCATGTGACTGTTAATGGAGAAACATTTGTTGGCCATCTCTATTTACCCTGAACTAAGTTAATTAAGGTCGTTTCAAAGGGTGGGGGTTATGAATCAACCACATTGCTTTGGGTCTGGAGTTACATGTAGACCAGATTAGGGAAAGGTGGCAGTCTCTCCCTATGTCAATCTTAAATGGCCAACTCCTTGTCCCGAGATCACAACCCCTCATTCTCTATCTTCCAGTTTCGTGAAACAGTCTATCCAGCTCTCCAAGAAATTTATACAGTTCATTGAGATCTCCTCGCCTCTTCTAAACTCCAGGGAATACAAGCCCATTGCCTAATTGATGGAGTACTCTGAAGTGCATCCATTCAGGAATGCTGTGAGCTGTATGATCAACAATACAGCTCCATTTGTCTGAGATCTTGATCTGAGTGGTGAATGGCTCAACTGGAATTGTGACAATGTAAAATAGGATGAAGGATACTTCTCTTTTAATGAGGCCTGAATGGACTCATTCTTAAGCTGCCCTTGTGTGTCCTCCTATCTCAAAGCCTGTAACAGTAAAAGTCATGTGTCAAATTAACCATCGCCTTGGAAACAGCTAGTGAAGCACAATAGAAACTGCTGCTTATTTTGGTTATTTCTCAGTACAATGGAGCTCAACCTTTTCTCTATTGAAACAAGTCAGTCATTCATTAACCGAGGTTCTATGATAATAGCCATGGTGACTTAACGGCTGTGCAACTTCTGCTCTGGGAGAGTTTGTTTAAGTGCTAACTGAGTATCAACAGGCTGAATGGTGGGTGGTTCTTTCTTTTGCAGAGCAGTGAGCCTCAGGAATGCACTGTCGACTGACGTGGTGGCTGCTGGCTCTCTAGATGGCCTCAAGAGGGAGCTCGACCAGACCCTGTCCAAGGTCTGGGATTATATCACACACCCACAGGAGGTGAGTCATTCTATTGGCCACACTTGGTCCATATGATCATCTTTAGCTGATCAGATGGAGGCTGTGTTTCTGCCCAAGGCTGAATGAAGGGAATGTGGGGAGAACAAAGTCAACCTTGGGACAAATTTTCAAAGCACAGAAAGCTGAAAACAATGATTAATGGGGAACTTCTTCAAGAGGGATGTCATTCTGTCCAGGTTTTATTCAGCAGCTTGCCACTTCCTTGTAGTGACTTTGTGACATCAGGATATCCCACAGCATTTTACAGCCAATGATGGACTTTTGAAGTGTAGCCACTGCTGTAATTTAGAAAATGCCACAGCTAATATATGCACAGCAAGCTCCCACAAACAGCAAAGTGATAATGACCAGACAAACTGTTGTGCTTGAGGGATAGATATAGGCCAGGTTATTGGGGGAAAATCCTCTGCATTGGGTCTTTTATGTCATCCTAGACAGGACAGATGGGGTCTTAGTTTAACATCTTGTCTGAAAAACTGCACCTTCAACAGTGCAGCATTCACTTGGTACTGTGCTGGATTACCAGTGTAAATTCCATACTCAGTTCTCTGAAATGGGGATCAATCCCACAGCCTCCGGGTTGAGAGATGAGTCTGCTACCCACTGAGCTACTGCTGACAGGAGGAATTATGCCCTTCTTACAGCATAGGAACAACAAACAGACAGACAGTACAAGACTTGCCAGAGTCACAATGAGTCCCTGCTCAGTTTGCAGCATTTCACCATTAAGCTGCAACTTGAGCCAGTGCCCGGTATATCATTAGTTCCATAAAGATTTCTCACAGTATCCATCCAATTACATCTGAGATCATCACTGCCACAAGGATCTTCCATGGGAAGAAGAGTAGGCTATTCAGTCCAGTTCTACTGTTCAATCATCCAGAGGTAAATTCATTTCTCAATTCCACTTACTGCCTTCAAGCTGTATCCTTTGATCTGACTCTCAGTTTTCTCAACAGGTTTTAGGGGGAGGAAGTTCCTGATTCCCACTTCTCTTTGTGTGAGGAGACACTTCCTGACATCACCCCAAATGACAGTGGTCTCCCCCCACCCCCACCTCCTCCTTATTCCGGACTTCCCACCAAAATTCCCGTCACCATCACAACCCTTTAGCATCCAGATCATCTGCAGTCTGTTGTGAAGAGATTGTCAAAGCTTTGGGATCCTTCCAGACACCACCTCAGCAAGAGGTCAGACCTCTTCTGACCTCTGACAACAGGCAGCCAGGGGACACTTAAAAAGTGATCTATCTCCCACAAGCTATACTTTATCATTAAAAACCTTCAACTCAAACTCAAAATACAGGCATTGAAATTCAGAGAAAACAACTTCACACATTTGGAACTATTCATTAAAAATTCTGAAATGAACAAAAACAACAATTTACATTTATATAACATATTCAAGAATGCATTACAAAGCGGGGGGTGGATTTACCAAATGAAATTTGCCACTGAGTCACAAAAGGGGAGAGATTAGGACAAGTGAAAGGTCATGTTAATCTGGCATGTTAATGGAGGAGGAAGAAGCAGAGAGAAAGAGTTTTAGGGAGGGAGTTACAGAGCTCAGAGCCTCAGTAGCTGAAAACACAGGCACAGTAGTGAAGTGAGTGAAATAGGGAATGCTCAGGAGGCTAGAATTGGTGGGACTGAAAGACATCAGAGAGGTGTGGGGCTGGAGGAATTCTCTAATATGTCTGACAGCATATCGTAGAATCCCTACAGTGTGGAAACAGGCCCTTCAGCCCAACAAGTCCACACCGACCCTTGGAGCATCCCAACCAGACCCATCCCCCTATAACCCACCTACTCTAAAGACCCCTGAACACTATGGCCAATCCACCTAACCTGCACATCTTTGAACCGTGGAAGGAAACTGGAGCACCCGGAGGAAACCCACACAGACACAGGGAGAATGTGCAAACTCCACACAGACAGTCGCCCAAGGGTGGAATTGAACCCTGGCGCTGTGAGGCAGCAGCGCTAACCACTCAGCCACCATACCGCCCTTAAATCCATATGTGAGACTGGGACTTGAGGTAAATGAGGATAGCAGATGTTTCAGTTCAGAATAATGGAAATATGGCAGGACTGGGCACTTCTCTTTGTCTATTCCACTGTTTTCCTTTAAGTGAGTTACTGCTTGCCCCTGCTATTTTTGTCTTGAAAGACGTTGTGGGAGTGGTTATTTAAAGCTATTCTCTCCATTAGCTGCTAATAATATTTAGTTTTTGCAAAATCTTTGATACTGGCAAAAATCCCATTTGTTTTAGAACTTTTTAAAGCTACACTAGGTTTGGTGCTGCCTTACAAGAACAAGAAGGAAATGAATCAATCGAGTCTGAGGTCGGGATGGTTCAGCACCCCGCTGCAGTGCCGGTTTTGTCCAGAGGGTGGCACATCTTCTCAAGGCCAACACAACATCCAAGTTCAGGCTTGGATGACTCCAGGCAATTTATTCGTGTTTGTACTGGTTGGGCAGACTCAACGCGCTCTCAGCGTTTATCTGGATGCACAGTATGCATTTCTTTATGCACAATCTACAACACATTTCCCCCACAGATACAATAGACACGGAAAGAAATCCAAGATTAGGATCCTGCCCCCAAACTTCACCTACTACCCCATAAAGCACACAGGATGAATACCACAGCGATAAACGGAGACAAACAGAACGTAGAAACAGAAACACACACACATATACAAACACAGAGAAACAGAGACAGGGAGAAAGACATATAGAGACTCAGCGGAACGCTCACAGCCAGGGAGAAACTTACACCGATCAGAAGACACACAGACATAGAGTGATTAACAGGCACAGAGAGAGAGAGACAAGGAGAAATGTACACAAACGCTGAAAAACAGACACAGGGACAGAGACACAGAGAGATATACATAGACACACAGAGACACGCACCCAAATATAAAAACACACACAGACACAGAGACTCACACAAATACAAGAACACAGATACAGGGAGAGACAGACACCAAGAGAGGGGTTCATAGAGAGAAAAACGCACACATAGAGGGACACAGTGACATACAGACACAGAGACACGGAAACATACACAGACATAGGCACACATACAGGGATACACAGATACAGATACAGGGACACAGGGAGACACACACAGATACAGAGAGATACATACAGACACAGATACAGAGACACAGACACACACAGAGTTACAGGGACACAGGCAGAGACAGAAAGTCGTTCAGACACCAAGTGTCTCTGATGTTAGCACTGAAATGTTATTCTTAAGACCACAGCATCCCCCTGACCGGAGGGATCAGGTAGATTCAGGGAGAAACCGATATCAGAAACTTGTGAGGCCGTACACAGTTTGATGGTGTCTGTAATGGGTTAAATACTTGGGTGGGTGCACCGTGTACAATGAAGAGAAAGACAATAAGGACAATGAGGAGGAGGAGGTGAGACTTACCGGTGCAGCTGTGTATCTTGGAGACTCCGGTGCACATGATCACCTCGCCAGCACTGAACCCACTGAGGTCAGTGAGAGGGCTGGGGACGCTGTGCAGCTCCAACTGTCTGGGAGTTACTGACAGGGAACAGGGGGCGGGTCCGCTCCCCGCACCGCACACTCAGGGACAGCACTGTGTCAAAGGCACAAAGATCCACCTCCTGGAACACAGCATCTCCACCAGACAAAGACAGGAGCACTGAGCCTGAAACACCAACAGTGACACCGACACCACCAATGCTTGTACCAGCAACAGCAACATCTCGAATAGCTAACACCAGTCAATCCCTGTAACAGCTGACACTAGCAACAGTAACATCTGTAACAGATAACATCTGCAGCATTAATATCTATGATGTGGAGATGCTGGTGTTGGACTGGGGTGGACAAGGTCAGAAGTCACACAACACCAGGTTATAGTCCAACATGTTTATTTGAGATCACAAACTTTCAAAGCACTGCCCCTTTGTCAGGTGAAGTGAAGAAAAGCATACAGGCACAGAATTTATAGGCAGGGAGATCAATGGGCAGAGAGATCAAAAGATCATACAAATGGTGTGAGTGCAGTTTCAAATAATAAGTTTCTGCAGGTGATCAAAAGTGTCAGATGGTGTAAGCAAAGTGTCAACAGCTGAATAGTAAGTGAAGGGATGACCTATAATCCACTTACTTGAGGCAAAAAGATAATTATAAAAAATTAAAAATAAGGTGGTGCACTCATCTGATTTTGGCCTCTAGAATGTCTGTGATTTAAATCACTTTGTCATTGGTGGCCTTGCTTTGAGCTGTTTGGACCATATACTCTGAAATTCCATCCCTAAACTTCTCTATCGTCCTTTAAGATGTTCCTTTTCACCAACCCACTCTCTCCCATATGCCCTTGTGTGACATGTTAACTCTTGTTTAATTGTGCCCCTTTTAACCATCTTGGGACAGTTTCCTATTTTATAGGTGCTCTGTAATTGTTGTTGTTGCCAGTGTTATCCACTGTCCAGAAATGAATAGCCAGGGACGCGCCCATTGGAACAGACTGCTGGATTCCACATGTGTAGGAGATAACTAACTCTTGGAAAGTTTGGCAGCAACAAACCTTAAGCTAAAATTTGCTTAACTGTGTATTTTTATATTTTCCACCAAAATTACCAAGGATATGTAATCAGTACATTACCTTAGCTTACCTGGTAACTCAGTAACCTGTCATTTCAGCATTTTCAGCTGGTAATTTAAAATTCACTTTATAGTACAGTCAATTAAGCATGAGGGTATAGTCTATTGTTCTAATTAGCGGTTAGTATGTACCACTGCACATAAATAATGATTTCAGGGTTTGCCTTTGGAATTTGGAACAAAATGCCTTCATTTAGCATTGAGCCCTTCAATTATATCTATAAATAAAAATACAAACATTCTTTTTGCTGTTCTCTGCCTTTGTGTGTATATGTGCGTGTGCATACATGCGTGGGTTGTGTATGTGCTGCATTTTACAGCACAGTAAGCAACCATTTGGTTCCCTGCTACCAACTCACTGAAAGAACTGTCCATTTATTCCCAGCCTTTCCCTTGTCCTTTAACCACTCTGGCCATCACCCTGACACTGCAGATAATTGTGTGTTAAAAACTAATCTCTGGGATAAAGGAATAACTCGCATTTCTCAGGTGGTCCAACATGGGTCAGTGCCAGAGTATTAAGCTCTGTAGTTCAACTCTCAGCCTTACACAATGCCCTTCTCCAACTCCCAACAACTAACTTCCAAAGATAAATAACATGCACTAGTAAGAATAAAATAATTTGCATTTATAATTACAGATATATTTTATGTGAGAAAGGAGAATATTATAAAACTGATTCTGCTTCTCATTGTTCTACACTTTCCATAAGACATCTACTCGGAGTTATTCACATTATAATGGCTCACACCATGTGACAGTTACTAACTGTTTTTATACACAGTTTACACAAACAATAATCACTATGATCAAGTGGATTGGACTAAATTGCATTCTTTGATATTATTTACTGGTTCACAATTTTGGGATAGTCATGTAGATTTATCAATTTGTAAACTGTCAAACAAATAAAATGAGGAAAATAGGATGAAACTTCAGGCAACACTCAATTAAAATACAGGGAGATCTGGATGTCTGACAGTAAATGTGGATGTGTATCACAAGATCTAGACCTTTCACCCCCAGTCCTGAATCCTGATTGTTCACATACCATTTCCTGAACAACTGACTCAGTTTCTTGCAGCCTTCCAAATTGGGCTACTCTTGTGTCAGCCTTGTCTGCCTAACAGTTGCATAGGTCTTGTGCCCCAGAGAATTTTACAGCCTAAGGAAATACTTCGGAAGCACAGTCCCATTTTTACTTTCAGAGAGCCAACAGATGACTTGTAAACAGCAAGATCCCAGCAATGTGATAACCTGTGTTTTTTCAGTCATGCTAGTTGAAGGATAGACATTTGCCTCGATATCAGATAGGAGTCCCCTTCAGTATAGCACCTATGGCAGTATTACTCATAAAGGAGGGCAGACAGGATCTTTGTTGAATGTTTTACCTGAGAGACAACAACAGTCTTAGTGCAGCACTTGCTCAGGTCTGCAATGGATTGTCAACTCCATATGCTGAAGAAAGTATAGAGTGGGACTTGAACTTGCAAACCACAGGCTAGAAGTTGGAATGTATCCAGAAGCCGCAGTTGACATTTTTGTGGGCCTGGAAATTCTTTTGAGGGTGTGACTTAAAACTTTTGCTCAAATCATGGCCAAATTTAGTTTTAATATACAGCCAAGTATTCTCCTGAGCTAATTGAAAACAACCAAACCAACAAGAGTGGAAATCAACAAATTTAAGAGTGGACAGGCCAAGGAATCTCAACACATGCACATGCACAGAGATTCATAGACAAACAGATGCACATGAACACTGTCACACACACACACACACACACACACACACACACACACACACACAAACAGATACAGACACAGTCTCACACACATAAACACAGTCTAACTGAGTCAGTCTAAGGAAGTTCAGCATGTCCATAAGGACTGTCACCAATTTTTGTAGATGCCCCATAGAAAACATCACGGCTTGGTACGGCAACTACTCTGCCCAGGACCATTAGAAACTACAGAGAGTTGTGAACATGGCCCAGTCCATCATGCAAGCTGACCCTCCATCCATTGGCTCCAACTACACTTCTCGCTGCCTCGGAAAGGCAGCCAACATCATCAAAGACCCTTCCAACCCTGGTATAAGCTCTTCCAACCTCTTCCATCGGGCAGAAGATACAAAAGCATTAGCACATGTATCAACAGATCCAGAAACAGCTTCTTCCCTGCTGTTATTAGACTTCTGAATGGACCTCTCAAATTTCAAATCTAATGGTGATCTTTCTTTCTGTGCACCTTCCTTGTAGCCGTAACTTTGTATTCCTCACTTTGTTTTATCACCCTACGATCTTTGTATGTTTTGATCTGCCTGTACTGTATGCAAAACAAAACTTTTCACTGTACCTAGGTACGTGTGACAATAGAAAATCAAATCAAATCAAATCTTTTGCATACTAAGACTGAACTGTAAAAAAACCCACAAGTTCTTATCTCTTTTACACCTTAAGCCACATATCCAATTACTAATCTGATCGATTCATAATCGCATGTTAACCAGATGTTATTTATTTCCCACAGTACATACATCAGACATTGTTCTTACCCATCCATGGCCTCCCTCATCCTGATTGTGCTGCATCCTTGTCTCACCTTGGCCTGGCTCTTTGCCATCTACTTATATTTATTTTACTACAAACACTTTGAGCAGAACCTGCATTTATCCCACTCAACTTTAACCCTTTCAGTATTTAATTGACTGTGAAATGCTTCAGGAGCTTCTGAGGGCATTAAAGATGCTATAGAAATTTAGATCTTTTCTTTACAACAATAAAAAAGAACTGCTAAATTAAAGGAAAAGTATTGATTTTGATCTGCATTTGTCAACTTTCCCTGTAGAATGATTGATTTTGATGATATGTTTGCTATAATCCAGTATCAATGAAATGCCAGGGGCAATGCTGCTCTCCCTTTATTCTCACATCAGCTAATATCGAGGAATATTCATTGTGCAGAAAGTCTGATTTCAGAATGAATTCCTGGCCTGTCCCGAATGTCATTTAAGAACTTCCAGCTTCCACCATGGGCAATTTGTTTAGACTGTTAGGGTGAGAACATCTTCCTGTATTGTGCTACCATGACAAAGGAGAAACTCACCTCCTCTATTAAATCAAATGACTGTTTGGTTTGAAGTCAACACCATTGCTTCATAATGGGAAAGGAGTGGGGAAAGATGACAGGGCAACACCCCAGTGTCAAAATGTGTCTCCCAAAAAACTGTGCTAAACTTTGATGCAAGCTTCATATCAAACTGACTAGTCCAAAAGGCTCCTCACCTACTTAATGCTTTCTGTTAAAAAATCACCAGTGTGACTGATGAATACAGCTCTTTGCCAAACAGCATAGCCCAAGCTAACATTAGGTACATTGGTCCTTATAGCCTCCATTCCATTCTGTCATTGGTCCTTACAGGTACCCCATTGCATCATACCATTGGTCCCTTACAGGTTTCCCATTCCATACCATCACTGGCCCTAACAGGGTCCCCATTCTGTCCTGTCAATCAACCAAGCAGTAACTGTTTACAGTTTTGTGTGGTGCATTGCTATGACGAGTTTGTTGGTCCATCTGAAATCAATTCTGCTTTATACTTTTTGAAGAATGTCATGTTTCCAACTGACCTTTGCTGCCTACACAATTGCTGCAATCCTCACAATCTTTCTATTTTCTTTGTGAGAGTATGTGGAATAATTGCTTTAGATGACGTGCTTGTTACAAAAATAACATTGGAACTACACAATAAAAGATCTTCTGTCTGTCTGGATTGTTGATGTCAGCAAATTTCACACAAGGATAACCCATTGAGTGCTGAATTGTCTTTGTAGTGTTGTTCCAAAGGCCTCCACACCATGATCTTAGATTATTGTGTCGAGTTTTTAGGGAAATGGCTTCACAGAGAGTGT